TACACAATTCAAAATCACATTTTTTTCGCTGTGCACCAGCTCTGTGCAATTGGCACTTATTTGAGACAGCTTTCAAAGAAAATATGTTTGTGGTTCAAAGATAAGCAGGTTTTTAGTAAACTGTCAAAAGGACTTCTTTTCCTCTCCTTTGCTGTCAGTGGAAAAACCCAAAAAGAAAGAGTAAATAAGAGGGAGAAGGCATTCTCTCTGAGTTATACTAGATGTGTAGACCTAGTTTTCTGGGAATTCATCAATGACTAGGTATTCATGGCTAGGGTCCTCACTCCCCATCCACCAAAATTGGGTTTTACTGTAAAAAATAATGAGGTTCGTGAAACACTAGAGTAATTCCATATGATAACTAAGACAGAGGTTGGTTTTGTTTAAACTCTGTTTTCATTACAATTATCAATCTTTTTTTTTTTTTTCTTTTTGTCTTTTTTACTGACCGGTAACGGGATCTCAACCCTCGGTGTCGCGCCCGTACCGGGGGCTGGCAACGGGATCGCAACCCTCGGTGTTGTGCCCGCACCACGCTCAGCCAGTGAGCGGGAACCGGTCTCCACATGGGATCTGAACCCTCGGCGGGAGCACCGCCACACTCCCAAGCGGGGCACTCTCCAGTGCGTCACCGGGCCGGCCCACGATTATCAATCTTTTAATAAAAGCAATGTTAACTCACAGCATAAAATTTTTTAAAGGGGAGATGTCATTTTAATAAGGCCTCTGTACATCAATTATGACTGAAAATTGACCTAATGAAGATATCAAGGAATAAAGAACTAAACCAAGAGAAGGTTAGTCTAGAAGCCATAGGTCAGCATAAAGGAAGACAAGCCAGAGCGCTAAACGGTCAGCAGTGTCCACGAGAAAGTTACCCAGCTAGCGAAGACCAGGCAGACCTGGTTTCTCTGCATTTTGGTTTGTTCGCACATGCTTCAGATGCTGTATTTTGCCTCTTGCCCCAGTACGGTTTTAGTTAAGAACTAACAATGTCATGCCATATTTAAGAGCCTTACAGAGGGCACTGCCGGTGTCAAGGCCATAAGTCCATGGGGAAAAAGTTAAACCTCTGGGGAAACTATGAGAGAAATTTAAATGAAAACTAAAATTGTGACAATAAAGGAGGCATAATTTTTCTTTTCGTAACTTTTGATGATTCTACTAATGAAAAACAAATTCTTCACTTTTAAAGCACATGAATGTCGCAATGAGGCAAAGACTCTAAAGGGAGAGAAGGGGCAGATCCATCATCTCTTTTCTGTTTCAGGAACAAGGAAGCTAAGATCTATATAACTTGAAGCTATAAAATTTAGGAAATTTTGCAAAAACACTTGTTTTTCTTGTAGGAAAACAGACTTCCAGCTCCCTCTGCTCTTCCTGCACTAATAATGTAGGGTCCTCCTCAGCATTATTTCACAGTGAGCAGATGGTAGTTCTGAATTTTTTGATTAAAAACAATCCTCTGGCAGAGGTTGCTGAGAGGTCAGCGGAACCCAGATTGACGATTGATCAGCTCTAATGGACCATCACAGCAATAAAGTCAGAGCTCGTACACAGGCCTGCTACCTCAGTAATAGCAACGGGGCTGACACCTGAGCTGTTAACAGACTTCCACTTAATAGCTTCGAAGCTTCAGTAGCTTCAAAACCTTCATCTCAGCAGAGAAATATTCTTCGATGCACATCCATTTTATCAAAGGACTCTCTTTTACAGGTTTACACCAAAACATACGTGATTTACACTGAGCCAGAGATTTCACACGGACTGAGATCAGGATAGTGAATGACACTCTGTAATACTGACAGATTATACTGACATCTACTTTTGTGTCCAGGCCACAATGGTACGTACCTACTTTCTGATATTTTTCTTGTACACATACAGAATATGTGACTGGGGAGGAAAAACTGAACTCCCCCTCATTGTTCCCAGGAGAACAAAACTTCAAGATTCATTTTCTCGGCGTCTCTTTTTTCGAGAGATGCCAGTGCTACATTCATGTTTACAGCACCACATTTGACAAAGGAAATCAGTTGTACTACACTAGAATTTTACTGTAGAGCTTCGATAACAGGAAATCAAAGTACTCTTGGAAGATAATAATAGCTGCAGATGTACAAAAAAGAGCATCTCTACATTAGTTGAACTAAACCACGAATAGTTTTCCTCTGCTGAAAGATAAATAATCCCCTTAATCAACCATATCATTACCTCCCATCCCCCAGCCCACCTATCCTTAGTAGAGAATTGATCTCAAAGTTAAATTGACTATGTGAGCCATAAATACAGATTTTCCAAAACATGGCTGATTTCCAATAATGTTTCTCACTCTCCTGCAAATTTACTCCTTCTTGTTGAACATTGAATCCAAACGTTTGATCCAGAAAAATCCAAGAATAAGGACATTCTTAAATATAATCTCAACACTAGGGTCAAAACCAAGCAATCTAACATTAATACAATATTATAATCTAATGTACAGTCAGCATTTAAGTCTTTATTTCTGGTTCAGGATCCAATTAAGGATCACACATTACATTTAGTTGTCATGTGTCCTTAACCTCTTTCAATTTGGAACAAGTCCTCAGCATTTCTTTGTCTTTCTTGACCTTGACATTTTTGAAGAGGAGTCCAGCCAGTTAGTTTGTAGAACGTTCTTCCGTTTAGATTTGTCTGATGTTTAAACATGATTGGATTCAGGTTACATACTTTGGGCAAGAATTCTACAGAAGTGATGTTATATTTTTCCAGGTCATCACATCTTGGATGCACTTGATGTCACTTTTTCTCATTATTAGGGACATTAACTGTGATTACTTGTTTAAGGTGTTTTCTCCACAATAAAGTTCCTATATTTTCCCTTTGTAATTAATAAGCAATTTGTAGGCAGATACTTTGAGACTGTAAATGTCTTCTTCATCAATCTTTTACCTACTAGTTTTAGCACCCATTGAAGATTCTTGCCTGAATCAATTATTACCATAATTTTCTAACCCCATCATTTCTTCTATATGTATTAGTTGGCATTATTCTGTAAGAGATTTCCCTCCCCATTTATTTATGTCTTTATCAATTTGTCTCTCTGTCTGTTTATTTGTTTATTATCAGAGTGGACTCATGGATTCTTATTTTATTCATTGTTATATAAATTGATTCAAATTGAGTTTCTGTCATTTATAACCAGAATATTCCTGAAAAGGCTTCAGGAACTCCTGAGGAAAGAGAGACAATTTCTCTTGGCAATGAATTCAAGAGGTCCTTACAGTCTTTACACTTACAAAGGAGCTTCCTGGTGATTCCATTAAATCCCTCCTGGCCCACTAGAGGAAGTCCAAACCACTTGAAGACGAGGGACCTTGAAGAAAATGTGGCCAGTAAATGGCCCCTAGATCTTCATGAAATCGCCATGTAGGTATGGCTGTAGGAACGTGAGGTTCTTCTTGCTATGTTCAAAGTTCTTCTTATCCTCTGCCCCTTCTCTTGCAACTTTGCTCAAGAGCTGGACCAGCCTCCCACTCCTCTCCTGATGTTACCAACAATCCCCGGAGCTTCTCCACATTCCCCTGGAATCTCTTATGCTTGGCTACCTTTCTGGCTGTTTGCTTTGTATGTTGGGCTTTATGCCTGAAAATGACCCCCTGAAGGTGGGCTTGATATTTTCTGATTGCCAATCCAGACCCATTCTTCAGCCTTCTCCACCAGCTCAGTTACTCATGAGGCTGAACTGCACCAACTACATCAACAGTAGGATTCAGCCAATGGTGGGTACTAGCAAGAGATAAGAAAGCAGGAGAGTGATATTGAGGTATCTCTCCCCAAAATCCACCCTTACCAGCTTACCATGGGTGGCTGCATTCCTCTATCAAACACCCTTTCCATATGGCTATTCTCCCTCAGTTCTGGAAACCATTCCTTTCCCTCACTTCTTGAGGCTAGAGGTAAGGCTAGCTCTGGGGATACCACCATCACTTATGGGTTTTCCTTTTAACACCATTGCTTGTTGGTTTCTCTCAACCCTGACCACACATTTGTAAACATTCCCTTTATTAAACTTTCCTTAATTATTTCACTTCAGAGTGCATTCTTTTACCTGCAAGACAAAAAACACAGATGGGACTGGAGACAAGAGGTGCATTATGGGAGAGAGACGCCGCCAAGGGCTGTCTTTCGTATTGCCATCTTTTTTGTGCTTAAAGATTTATGTCTGCCTTTATCTTCTTCATACTATTAAAAACATAACAAAATAAACACTATTTCCTAATTGTGAAATGTGACCACATGCCATTAAAAGAAATATGTTCTAGCAAAGTGTGGACTTAAAGATTTTGCTCCTTCTGTTTTCTTAGCAGTAAAGAAAAGCCGCAGAGCTCAAAATGACAATTTAGGTAAAAGTTCCTTCAGGAGGAACCCAAAGGAACCTCCAAGTATTATTCAGTCCACTTGTTGCCTTTTACTAAGTTTTCCACATGTCAACATCAAAGTCCTTCTCAACCAGACACATGATAAGATACAAGATCTACAGCAAGACATTTATTAAATAGATGTTCGAATTCCAAGTCTGTGAATGATTTAATTTTTAAGTATAACTAGCAATCGATTTGAGGTTAGCTCCATCACAACATTCCTTTCAGTTGCTTGCATTTCAAAATGCTTCCACAGAAGTGGTATTTGGATATATCCTGCTGCTATCTTACCAATTCACCATTTACCACCAGCTCTCTCGCGCGACTATTGTCAGGTGACTGACTTAACTCCCCTCCAATTAGAGAAAAGTTCGTTGAAATCTGGTTATACCCATTATAACTGTCCCTGGAGAAAGTGACTGAGGATCGCTATCCTGTCCTGTCAAGAAATAGGCACATTCATTCCAACTCTGTACCATCCTCTCAAATGTCTTTCTTTCCCAAGCACCAAAACTTGGTATTTCTGGTATACCTGGTATTTATTCTTTGGCCGTTAACACACAAAGCAATTTAACTCAAACTATAGTCAGTTACCTGTAAGTCTGCATCAAATTCATGTTTCAGGTGTGCCTCTTCCGCAGCCTCCACAAGACGCTGAAAAGACAGAAGGCAACATTAAGAATCAGAATTGTGGCTGGGACCCTGTCTCTACAATGTGAAAAAGACTGAGGTTTCTCCGTTGTCCAAAAATGAAAGATTACATTGTGTCTTATGCATCTTGACCTGGTACCTTTGCTTCCATGAAACTGAATAAAATCACTTCAGTGTCAAAATTTAGTTTCTGTCTTCATAATTCAATCACAATTCTTCCAATATATATTTATCGTTACGTATATTTATAAATGCACACATGTTCTGCATCCATTTTCACAACAATTCAAAGATACCAGCCTTTGAAGCTCAATAAGGGTCCAAAACCTACCTATAACATTGCATTCCTTAGGCATAGAAGGCCCTTAGTCAAGATTTATTGAATTGAATTGAGTCCAACTCTAAGTGGTCTAACTTTCTTCCCCACTGGCTTAGAAAAGAGTAATTTTTCTAATTCCCTCAATCGTTAAAGGTCAATTCTTTCTGCACCCAGTTCTAATATGTAATTATCAGGTGATAACTATTTGCTATTTTATGGTACATCAAATGTCATTTTGACAATCTGCATCGCAATAAACCAATCAGAAATTAAATCAAGATGCAGGACCCACAAGAACACAACTCTTGTTATTCTTCTTAGCCAACTAAATTCAACAAATTTATATTCTAATGAAAACAATTTTATGACATGTCTTCATTTAAAGGCAATTAGTCAACTATCAAAATCATTTTTACTTTAATTTAAATTTGCCAACAATAAGATATTTCCCACCATGAAAATATAAAGTAGAGGATATTGCAGAAAATTCTTATTTAGTGAAATAGTATTTCACTGAAATTTCACTGAACTAAAAGCAGAACCTTTAGATCCAAGTAAAAATTTCTCTTTTGCCATGGTAACTCTTGCAGCCTGTGCTGTCTTTAACTTGCTTTTTCTTGACATAATATAGACCTGAGTTTAATAGGCCATGTTTGAAAAAATGACATTAACATTAATCTCTGGTCACAAACCAACAGACAAATGTCCCATGAATAATTATTTAATTGGATGTGGAAATAAAGAAGCTGAAGTATATTTGAGTAACTTTAGGCAGCAGCATACAGAGCACCACAACCCTCTTTTTCCACAGGACAGGTAAAGAAAGAGCTGGGCCAGCTGGAGACGGTGCTGCCCACAGACAGGACCCTGGCAGGGGTGGAGAAGGGCTTCTCTCTTTCTGGTCAATCAAAGAACAGACCCTCAGAGAACAACAGAGGCCAAAGCCAGAAGACCTGGTCCTAATTCTAGTCCAGATACTAACGCATAACAATTGTGAGGTCTTGGGCAACCCCCGTCCCCTCTCTGGACCTTGGTCTCCTCATCCAAAGCACATGAAGAGGTGACCCTAGAATAGTGGTTCTCAAACTGCAGTCCCCCATCAGAAGCATTAGTTTTACCCGGGAACGTGTTAGAAATGCCAACTCTCAGGCCCCATTCCAGTACTACTTAATCAGAAGCTCTAGGCATGGGGCCCAGCAATCTGTTTTAACAAGTCCTCCAGGTGATTCTGATGCCACTAAAGTTTGACAACCACTGGCTAAAAATAGCACTTATCACAGACCCTACCTCACTCCTGATGCCTTGATTAATGAGCTCCACCAGCCCTCCAAGGTTTCTCAACTCTCACTTATCTTTTTAAAATCTGTGTACATGTATTTGCACTTTTAAAGACATCAAATTCTTTACAGAAGAGAGATATAAGATAGAGGGGGTGAGAAACAGAAAAAAGAAAAATATGAAGAGACAATATCTATAGAGATCTGGTATGTGGGCTCCAAGCTTTCACTGGGTCAGGGTCTTCTGGAATCATCCCAGTCAATGAAGCTTGTCAGCCTCCCAGGATCACATGGTACAATTTGCAAATGTATCAATGCGGATCCTGACAGATGCATGACAGGCAGTGATATAAGAAATCTATGTGTCTCTTAAACTTTGTAAAAAGATTTAGAACTTCTATGCATGTATCATGAAATCAGTTACATATTGAGCTTTATAGAGTGTCTATAATAGTATGCATGTCTGAACACTTACGTTATCAAAACAAGTCATGCATTTTGAGCATTTATTTACTTAAACACATAAAAAGTTGTTTTTCAATGGTGTCTAAGCAGTCTGAGAAACCAGAGAAAAAAAGTCAATGAAATGTTCAGATGATCAAAAGATAAAAACAAAATAAAACTTCACAATGACTAAAACAGATAATACTGAAAAAGCTAAAGAATGAGGAAGAAAAAACAGTAATAATAAAGTAATGCAGGACCAACAAATAAGAGAATAAGATGGAAATAATAGGCAAGTTGAAATTATCACGAAAGAGTACAGCATGAAATATATTTTATATATATTTTTTGTTTACATATGAGTATGTATGTATACCTATATCATACAATCATACATACCATATATTCAAATATAACATAACGTAGAATGTATTTCATATAACATGTTTTATTTACACGTTTGTGTGTGTGTATATCTCACACATACCATATACATGTTCCTATATAACACAACTTGGAGTGTATTTCAACCACAAACACTGCAACACAAGGTACAGGGCACAAGAAGGCAACACACTGGAACAATTCAATAATATTGTATTAACTACTAAGATCAGCCAGGATACTCTGTTCTGTGCTGAGTGTAATAAGTATATGAGAATTTGATCCCACCGGCCAGTTTTTATGTTCATTTTCAAGTTAAATTTGCAGCACGCCTTTTTTTGAACTTAATTTACTCACATATCTCTTGTTTCCACAAAGATATTTTCCCATCATTCTCACTACGAAGCTTTAGGAAATATGATTCAAAACAAGAAAGTCAACCAGCAGCTACACATACTAGCGGTCTCATGTGAAGTGAGAAAGTACTTTGGAACAGAGCTCTTGGGAAGGGCATTCCCTTCGTTCAGTAAACCATGCGGTTATCCAATCTGCCCCCTGCTGCCAAGGGGAGACAGGTCTACATCTTCTGGATAATTCAGGGTAAAACACCGGGAACAGGCTCAGCTGTTGTGCACAGTGTTCATGACAAACAGCACATCAAGAACTATATACCTTGTGGAAAGAGCAAAGGATAGTTGATCTTTTCTTCTCAAGTACTCTTATAAAAGCAAACGATTTAAAAGAAATGTTATTTAAGAAGGAAACCATCTACCATAAATTTACCTAAAACAGAGTCCTGGAGACAAGAGTTCCTACTGATAATAAAATAAAAATAAATGGAATCATCATCTAACAAAGTCAAGACCATTCAACTTCAACTTCTGGAGCTTCCCAGTAGAAAATAGCAGCCTGTAATATCTCTTTCCTAAGCAAATATCATTATCATCTAGGACAAATGAAGTATGTTTTTAAAATAAGTTTGATTATCCCTTGCAGGTAAGAAAACTCCATTAAATTTGCTAATATTTTAGTTATCATATAAGGAGCCACCACTAAGCCTGGGGGAACTGTTTCTCTATTATATCTATTAGAAAGGCAGTGTACTTTTAATAATAATAAGTTAATTTTCTCTTATATGAATTCTCTTTTTGGATCTGCAGATGGGATTATTGAATTGTGAATGTGGTTTTTAGTTAAAACTGAACACTGGAAATAAAAATGGCTTTGAAGACTCCAGTCTTCAGAGCAAAGCTTTCAGGTAAGAGAAAACAGCAATTCTGTCCACAGATTTTTTGCCCCTTCTTTAATGCCAGAGCATTTCCTTACTCAATAAAAATGATAACAATATCCTGGAATATATATCCTGGCCTTCGAACAAAGCACCTATAAGCGAAAAGGTTATAATTCATGAGTTGATGCACATTTCATTGACTTTTTATATTTCTGCATGTCTCTTCCCTTTTAGTGAAATAAATACAAACAAGAGCTATCTTTATAAATAAGAAACACTAGAAGTCACGGACCATGGACAGTATTTATAGCCGTGGTGAAGGCATGGCTGCCAAGGGCAATAGTGAGGTACTAAAGCATTTCATTTAAAATCACATCTTACTTCTTGTTATAGTAGCCCCACATATATCTGTACAATTCTACAGAATGCACAGTCTCCCATTTCTCCTGTGCAACACTTAAATCAAGAGTAGAGTTAAAGACATTGTGGAAGTCAAACGTTCTGTCATGGTCCAGAAGGGGGAAAATCAGACAAGTCAAAGTAAAAATTGGATCAGAAGAAAAAAATGATTTTTTTTTGTTCTACTCATTTTTTTTTTGGTTCCTGGTCATTTTGCCTTAGCAAGGAGAGAAAAGATAGAAAGAAATGTGCAGTGAGAGGTGGGAAAGGAAATGGAAAATGTTTACAATCAAAGTAACTTACTACTGGACTCCTATTGATTCAGAATGGATGAATTGTGTACAAATGAAAAAACACTTAAATAAAAATACCAAAAATGGGGGGTGGGGCGGAGAACAATTAGGAATGAAAATCTTTAAAGCAAAACAGAAATATAAAAACCATATGGAATAGCAAAGTAAAAAGTTATATTTATTTCTCATGTTAAAGCTAAAAAGCTTTGGCTTATAAATGCTGTTATACTGGGATGTTACAATTTAACCAAGATTTTCAAAACACTTAATATGTTTAGTGGTTTCCATTTAATGTTTTGCAACAATACATTTATTACTCATGCCAGGGTTTCTATTGCCATTTTTTTCTGGAATGAATACATAATTCTCTCTCAAATAAGGTTTAAGCTTAACTGGGGGTACTCTAAAAAAAAAAATCTATAATCATTTACATGAATTTGGGCTATACTGGTGATAACTTGGAACTAATTATTGAATTGTCATTAATACCAGAGTTAGAGATCACATGGCTCTCCTTTCAAGTCAACAAGAGTTAAATGTGTAGAAAAATGACCAAATGGTGTAATCAAGGAGTAGTAGTAATTACTGTCACAACCGCGCCCAGCGTGGCCTGGTTCAGGTTTTTCTTGCCTTAATTCAGTGGCTTTTGTTGTAAA